ACTTTCAGTATTATATTTTTTTCTTTCTTGGATGCCTTGGAATATTTTCAGGAAAAAGGATACTCCATTACTGTTCTCTATAGAATCTATCAGGCTTTATCTTTGCCACATGGCATTCAGGCATTCTTTGACTGAAGTGCTTTATTTATTTATCAGGTGATTACACACTTGGTTCCAGCAAAACATGGAATCAGATCTATTGTGTTGCTGAAAGGGTAGCAATGAATAAATCTGTATTTATTAAAATATTTACATTTATTTTACTACAATTTTGTTAGATGATTTTTATCAAAGAAGATGCAGGGTAGTGTACAAACACCATATAAATACACTCCTAGCAGAAACTTGTTTATATTTTTGAATGACACAATATGTTTACAGATTATTTATGTAAAAAACTAGGACAAGAACATGAGCACTAGAATAAGATGGAAACTTATTAGTTCTGACTTCAGAATAAAATACAGATAAAAGCAGTAAAATCTGCCCAGTCCTGGTCTCTTGCCCAATCCTGTTTTCTTTCAGACATCTACATCGAAGATCCTTCATTTCCCAATTCCCATTCCCTTTGTTGTAGTTTCTTTCAAACATACTCTGTAACAGCCATGGAAAGTAGAGTCTTATAATGAAGTGACCTACAAAGGTGGGTGGGTGGGTGGGTGGGTAGGTGGATGGATGGATAGATAGATAGGCCAACCAGCTAAACTAAAAAGGGTTCCAAAGAGTTTTAAACAATGCTTTAATTTGGATTCCTTCACTGAGCAGAGGTTTGGGCTTAATGACCTACTTTGCCCCTTCCAACTCTATTTTGTAATTGCCACTAAATGCCTGCCTTATTTCAAAGGTACCAGAAATATCTTTCAACTGATTAGAAACTGTTGTTTTTATACCAGAACCATAGAACGTTAATTTACTTTCTCTGACCTCTTTCTCTCTAGATGTTGTAAAATGCAAAAAAGGCAGAGATGCTGCAGATACTCTGCAATGTCCGGTGTGTGCCAACCCCAGGAATTCTAAAGAGAAACATTTAACTAAAATGCCACTCTCTTCATTTAACTGCATTAAACCAACTATAGACACAACTTTGAAGTTGAAGACTGTAACTGTGGTAGACGATGGAGACTTTACTTCAGTTTCTCCCAAAGATTTTATGGCCCCTATAGGAACTATGACATTAAACATGACAGACCAAACAGGGAATCGAGTAAATATAGCTTGTAATGTGCAGAAGCCTTCAAAAATGTCTCCAGTTATATTTACAAAAACTGGCAACACCACACTACTTGAAATATCATTGTCGACTTTTCTTATATGTAGCATTGACCATGAGCATATTCAGCAACTATGGAGCATTCTTGCCCTTTATAGTGATTCTCCACTAAAACTGACAAGGGAACAGTTACTAACAGAAATGCCTTATACCAGTTACAAGTACAAACAAATAGATTCTAAAAATGAAGAACTTTTCACTGATGTAGAAGCTGAACTGACAGCTGAGCCTCCTTGGTTGATGCAGGGTCAAGTATCAATGCAGTTGGACAGGACAGCAACTACACTCAATATACTGCATATCCAGTATTCAATAGATGCTCAAATCATTCTTCCAGATGATGTCCCAAAGCCAACCAAACAAAAATGGGCCATGATTTTACGAGACAAGAGTTCCAAAACTGAACATTCTGTTTTAGTTGGTGGTTCTGTAGAATTGGATTGCCAGGCATTTGGAGACCCTGCCCCTGTAACTGAGTGGTTGTTACCTGATGGGACCAAGGTTAGAGCTCCATATGTAAGTGAAGATGGAAGAATAGTGATAGCAAAATCTGGTAAGCTCTTATTACATTCAGATCGTTTTGATACTGGAGTTTATCATTGTATAGGAACCAACTATGAAGATGCTGATGTCTTGACTTTTAGAATTACAGTGATCGATCCAATTCTGGAGCAGAGCCATTTAAATGGACCACAGCTCTCAGTGTTTTTAGGTGAAATGATTGATCTTCCTTGCCTGTCTACAGGTGTCCCAGATGCTTCTATTAACTGGGTCACACCAGAAAACATGATTCTTCATAGTTCTTTTAAAAACAAAGTTCTGTTTCACAATGGCACATTAAAAATACAAAAAACAGCAGGACAGGACAACGGTTACTTCATGTGTATAACGGCCAATAATTATGGTGCAGATTTTTTAGTTTACCAAGTACTAGTTAAAAGGAACTTCAACAACTCACAACAACTCACAAAAAAAGAGATAGTTAATGAAACAGAAGGGTCTGGCAACAAAGAACATGACTTTATTGGCCAAATTCAAAATTCTCCTTCTACCATTCCTGCCCAGGTAACCAGTCAAGCATCCATACAAAGTTCATTTACAAATTATTCCATGCCAAATAAAACCAAAAACAATTACAAAGAGGTTTACAGGAATAATAGAGGCAAGATAAGCAGATGGTTTAGAGGACAAAAGAGACAATTTGGTCTCTCTACCAACAGAATTGATCCATTGTACTGGGCAACATTTTTAGGAAAAACAAAAAATATCACATTGCTAAGAAGACAAGAAAATATAACAGTAAAACCAACAAGAAAGGTGTTTCTGTCTTCAAAGAGTTCTGGAAATGAGAGAATGATATCTGGGGATTATATATTAGCTGAGGAAGAATTTATGTTTCTAGCAAATAAAAGACCTTCAAAATACACTTTGAGAGAAGCATCAGGAAATGTAGTGACAGCAGAACTTGGAAGTATATCAGGTAATTACAGCTTCTTTGCAACACATAACATGGTTACAGAAACAGAACCTTCAACTACCAGTTCTATGGCTATGCATTCTGAGATGCTTAAAGACCAGAACTGGCTAAATAAACCAAAACCTGAAATAGAAAGAATAAGCCTTGAAAGATATCAAATACTGCCTACACCACCAACCCAGATGGAAATAACAATGCCATCATTGTTTAATGAACCCAACAGTACAGCAAACACTTTAAATTCTTTTCAGAGATTGGCATCATCTGAAGAAGGTAATTTCTATTTAAAAAGCAAACCAACAGTAATACCAACAATGGCTATTACTAATAATAGCCAGTTTATAATTTCCCACAAACTAATTGAAAAACCTGATTTATTTGCAGAGAAAACTGAGAAAGTATCTGAAAAATCAAGCCATCAAGTGTCCTCAGCAGCAGTCAGTGTATCTAATGATGCATTAAGACATGGCTATATTTACAATACACAAAAAACAATACCTCAGTTATCTGCAGGTTCAGCTGTTGTTGCCCATCAGCAGATTGAGGTAGTTAAGGATTCTACAACTCATAGTCCATTCCCCAGATGGTACAGCAGACGAAGAAAAACCTTTGGTAGAAGACGAAGAATTAGACCTGACCGTATTCCCAACATTGCAGGTCATAGATTTGCTTTTGCTAGATCAGGGTTTGTTCCAGAAAGCTCAAGTCTTACTCTCCCTGCAGAAGTAAACATATCAGCTGTAACTCTTTCCAACATACCAGTTGAATCACTTACCCCACAAACAATTACTTGTACTTCAATCAAACCTCAGTATCCAAAATCAACAGTTGCAAATCAAATGGTGACATCCTCGAGTAACAAGATAGATACAGATGAAGTGCATGAATCTTTCACAACTGTCCCCTTCTACTCTAAAAGCATCCAGGTTGCCACACACAAAGAAATAGAATCAGGTACACAATTACAAGTAATACCTGACATAGATCCATCAGTTAACATCCAATTCACAACCAAAATCCATAAGCCTAAGCTTAACATGAAAAGTACATTTACCAAAGCTAACATATCACCTTTCATGATCAAATCCACTATTCCTTCTTTTGGTATCCATGACGGCTCTTCTAGTGTTTCAAATGGAGAAATCTCTTGGAGTACTTCTTTTGGTAGCAGCTATGTTCAAAAGGAGCTACTGGAGAATCAACCCATAGTACAAACAAAACCCTCAACTGAAATATCTGTTATACGTTTTCACACCTCCGTACCAACATACATAAATTCATCAATATATGAAACTGATGTTTCCAAAAATGACAATCAAACTGATGTTCCTAAAGACTTAATTAAAGTCATCAGTAACAATGTATCACTAGTAAAACACAATCCTATGGTATCACTCAGTACTACAGAATCACCATCTTCAGCCTCTATGTACAACTTTACAACTGATCTTAATAAAGAAACTGATGCTATGACCATCCTACAGACTCTTAATCCAGCCACCACTGTTGCAAACAAGATTTCAAAACTCAGAATGTTTCGACCACTTAGAAAGAAGGGTCAAAGGAGGAGAAGACCTCTGCAGAAGTTAATGCCCTTCCACAGAAACATTTTGGTGAATAAGGGATTTGCTACATCCTCTAAAAAGATTATCCTTTCTCCTACTATGCAAACAATGAGAAAAGTAACTGAGCCTTCTAGTCTCATATTGACTGAATTGTTTTCAAAATTCACCAGTATGGATGTAGTTACAGTTGGTCTACAACCATCAATTCTTAACACAGCAGATGTAAAAGGGGACAATAAATTCATAACTGCTGCTCACGTATTAGCAAATATAACCCTTGAAAATGCTCACACCATTAATCCACCAATGAAGCTGTCATCTGAAGAACTTTCATCTACAGCCCCACTGTTTGAAATGTCCTTGGATACAACAAAGACAAGCACAGTGTTATCAGACACATCCTTGGTAACAATGGGACCAAGATTTACTAGAGTAACACAAACCACTAGACAAGCCGATAAGGAATTTTACCAGAATGTGGGACTAACAGCAGCTCCAAAAACACAAATAACCAAAACAGCTCCTCATGTGAAAAATGAGCTAAACCCACAGACTCCTACTAATGCAATTTACATGACCACTAGTCCACTAGGATCCCAAACAAGGCTCATCCAACCTACACAAACCACTTCATCTCCCAGATGGGGTAAAATGTCATGGCAGTTTCCATTTTCTAAAATCAGAGATATTGGAAAACCTGTCATGGTTAACACATTGACAGTATTAAAATCTCCTCAAAGCTCTACCCTGTATACTCCTTTGTGGAAGACAAATAAGAACAATTACATCAGAAATTGGTCTGAAAGTACAGACCAGGTAGCCACTACCACCAATCCAAAAGATTTAAATCCATTCTACCAAACCGGATTGGCAAAACCCAGAATAAGTGGAGGAAAATTTGCAGTGTTCACCGTCCTGGCTAATTCAGATGCTTTCATCCCATGTGAAGCCAGTGGTAATCCTCAGCCAACCATACGCTGGACCAAGATATCAGCAGGTAAGCTTTCCAAATTAATATTTTACATGTTTTTCTCTTTTATCATAAACAAGACGTGAACTAAGTAAAGCATGCAAAATTAATTTCCTACATGTTTATAATCCTAGAATTAAATTATGAAAGTGTAATCACTACAGTCAGATTTTAAACTAGCCATGAAATTTGCTAATGGCCTGGGGCCAGTCACAAATCTAACTACAAGTTTTCATTGGATAGAAAAGAACTACATGTGCCAGGAAAATAAATGGGATACACAGAAAATGAACAATAATAATCCAGATTTCATATACAGGTGTGCAGACCTTTTTCTATGAACATAGAAAGTAATAGTGTGATACGGTATTTTTGCTCTGATGCCATACTCAGAATATTCAGAATGATCCTGAAATAATTCTGAAGTAGTATATTGAACAACCATATTAAAAAAAAATTATGGGAGCTTTATTAAGCTAGAGTATTTTAAACTAGAGTAGAACAGTATACTGTATAAAGTATACACTTATTGCAATAAAGTGATTTTTTTTTCTTTCTTTCTAATGCTTTTGAGCCAGTGTTGACTCCTGACAGCTGCCTGGACAAGTCCCTGCAGTTTTCTTGGCCAGATTTCAAAAGTGGTTTCCCCTGCCTCCTTCCTAAGGCTATGAGAGAGTGATTGGCCCAAGGTCACCCAGCTGGCTTGATGCCTAAGGCAGGACAAACTCAGTCTCCCCATTTCTAGCCTGGTGCCATAACCACTGCACCAAACTGGCTGATTGTGCAAAACTTAAAGCACCAGCTTTCCATAAAAATAGAACATTAAATTGTAGTATGTTTTCTTTGAACCAGAATAATATAATTCATCCCATGAGGAAATAATATCTATACTTTTTTCTTAACTGGACAAAAACATGCAAGTATAAATAACATAGATATAGAGAATAGCAACAAGAACTTTTCCAAATAAGCTATAATAGAAAGCTACTTAAAGCCAGGAATCTTGTTCTATAAACTGCAATGTAAACAATGTAAGCTTGTGTTAGTATACATAATTCATTTGTTTCCATTTCTTTACCTAAGTGGGTAGTCTAAGAAGGGATAGAATCAGATTACAGGTAATCCTCACTTAACAACCACCATAGGGACTGGTAAATTGGTCATTAAGTAGGGCAGTCATTAAGCAAGTCACCATGTGACTGGACCTGATTTTACTACCATTTTTACGATGGCCATTAAGCAAATCACATAATCATTAAGCAAATCACATGGTCGTTAAGCAAATCCAGCTTCCCCAATGGATGTTTTTTGTCAGAATTTGCTAAACAACCATGTGATTCACTTAACAACTGTCATAAAATGGTTGCAAATCATGATCACATGACCACGGAGGGTGGTTAAACAAACGGTCATTAAGCAAGGACTACCTGTATATCAAAAGCCTGGAATAGAGTCAAGTAATTCAAATAAACCTTAATCATAAATCATCTTAAAGCTAAGGTTTGTTGTTATGCTATAAATCATAATTGTATAATTTAAAATTTTAAAATTTTTGATAATGTTTTCATTTTAATTATAAGTTTTTATCTTTTTATAATGATTGTTTTTATCTATTTGTTATTTTATGTTATTGTTGTACGCCACCAGAGTTACTTTGTGTGAGATGGGCAACTATATAAATGTAATATATAAATAAACAAACAAACAAATAATTGGCTGTTATATGAAGCTATTTCTAGGGTTTCTAGATTGAATCAGCACATTATTGTTCATGCTGGCTAGACCAAGATTCTTGGGTTAATATATGAATGCAGTTATGTGATTCTAGATTAAGACAAAAAACAAAGATTTATTTCCAATATATATGCAAGCTCTGAATTTAAAACACACAAATACATGTATGATGAATGGATATAATAAAAAAACTATAGGAAGCAAATAAAATACATCAATTAATCTTCATATACTACTTACTATGTTTAGTATAATAAGCAGTATATAAAAATTAATTGATATATTTTACTTGCTTCCTATAGTCTTTATAAGGGAAAAAAGCTAAGTCAAGAGAATAATTCAAAGGGAATTTTATAAAGAAACTCAGAATCTTATTTTCCTGTTTGCAAATCAATATTCTAACAAGCTATGCAATAGGCAACATTTTAATAAATAAATCTAACTTGAGGGTTTTTTTGATTAATCAGGGGCTGATGCATCAAAAAACAAGCGTGATAACAGATTTGAGATTCTTCCCAATGGCACACTCTCCATTCAGAATGTGGGCCTCCAGGATCGTGGACAGTACTTGTGTGTGGCTGCCAACCAGCACGGTTCAGACAAGCTTCTTGTCACCTTGTCTGTGGTTACCTATCCACCAAGAATTCTAGGGAAAAGTTCCAAGATCATTACTGTCCACTCTGGCAAGCCAGCAGTTATGAAGTGTGCAGCTGAAGGCCGCCCCATTCCTTCTATGTCTTGGATCCTCGCAAACAAAACTCATATCTCTGAATTTTCAATAGAAAACGAGGCTGTTTCTGTACACTCCGATGGCACCTTACTGATCAAGAAAGTCAGTGTTTATGACAGAGGGATTTATACCTGCACAGCAAATAATCCAATTGGCTCAGATACTATGGCAATAAGGTTGCAAGTCATTGCTGCACCACCCATTATACTGGAAGATAAGAAGCAACTTATACTAGAGAACATGGGGAAAAGTTTGAAACTTCCTTGCACTGCCAAAGGAGACCCTCATCCAACTGTTCATTGGGTCCTCCTTGATGGAACAGAGGTGAAACCACTGCACTACATAAATGACAAGGTTTTTTTGTTTCCTAATGGAACACTTTTTATCAGGAATATAGTTCCTTCTGACAGCGGGAATTATGAATGCATAGCTACAAGTTCCACTGGGTCAGAAAGGAGAGTAGTACAACTTCAAGTGGAACATAGAGATATAACGCCCCAAATTGCAGCTACATCCCAAAGATTGACTCAGTTGAATTTTGGGAATAGGTTGCTTCTGAACTGCTCAGCTATAGGGGAGCCAAAGCCCAAGATAATGTGGAGATTACCTTCCAAAGCTATTGTTGACCAATGGCACAGGTAGGTTTCTTGGAAACTGTATTTCAGAACAGTTTTTGGCTGGCCTTGGCTGAATTTTTCTGATATGAATGGTTTTTGGCTGTTATTTGAGGTGCTTAGATGGCAAGGAGGTACAAAGGACAGTGGCTGGGAAAGCTATGGAGGAGTTTGGGACTTAGTATGTAAGATAGAGTAGTGTAGAAGAATAAAAGGGAAAAGGAAATGCTAGAAGGAGTTAAAGAGAATGAAATGCAAATGAGACAATGATGGAAGGGAGTTCAAGTCAGAAGCTGCAGAGAAGAAACTGAAACATACAAACTGATTTAAAAAATTAGCCCAACACACACCTACCTGCTGGCTTTTGGGCCAGCTGTAATTTAAGATTGGGCATGTAAGATCCTAAGAACAGCCCTACTGTATGAGACATCTGTATCTGGTGCTGTGTTCTGTTCCAGTGGTAGCCAACCAAATGCCTATGCGCAATCCATAATCATGACATGAGTACAATAGGAATAATACAATGGATGGGCAAAGATAAATGATGAGCTATATCTGTATATTTTGTTAATGCTGAATTCACAGGCTATGTTTGGATGCATAAATGGGGAGGAAAGGAGATAGTTAGAGATGTTAATACATTTTTATTCACTCCTGCAGTCAGGTAAAGAGGTAGGGTGGTTATGAATTATAAACAACGGAAGTGGCTTTGATGACTGATGCCAGAGGCCCTGAGAAAGTAGTGTTTTGGGGTAGATGGCTTCTCTTTGGAAATCTCTCTATACTTAACTATTACAAAATGTTACAA